TCACAGAGAGTTTAGGTATTGACGCCTGGTCTTTAGTAGGATTATAGAGAGAGTTCACTGACAGTCTGAGGACAACAAGTCTTCTAACCGGCATTTTGAAGAGAACTGAATTGTTAGCAGACAGTCCGAGGGGAGCTCAGTTTGTTTAGGGGTTTGAGTGACCTTGAGGAAGGGAATTGCTCCTAAATTTTAAGGGACCACATGACGGGGCAGAGAGGCAAGACAGAAACAGATAAACAAGGAGAAGGCAAGTGTGTGACAGATGAGTTGACTGTAGTGACAGGCAGAGCCAGAAGAGGGCAACAGGGAGAGCCCTAGCAGCTCCTTCCTTTCCCTTCTGGTTTTGCAGAGCCCAGAAGTGTCTGACTTCTGGTTCAATTGTAGCATTCTGCACTTTGTTTAATTGTTTATTCTCTTTTCTTTCTTCTTGATTTGTTAGTAAATTCCTTTGTCACTAGCAGTGAGGTGTCTAATTGTAGGAGGTTTGTTGTTTGAGAAAAAGGAATCTTGTCCATAGTAGAAGTCTTGTTCCAGAGCAGGAACCAACTGGAGGAGATTGTCTTAATTTTTGAAAATAATATAGGGCGCATGCTGTAGACAATTCTTAAACCAGGTAGGAGGGAATTAATAAGGAAAGGAGGCTGTATCAGAATGAAGAGAAGGGAATTGTGGTTTTCCCTGACTGTACCTTTAATATCTTGTGTCACACAAATACAGGTCAGCTAGTTGACACAGTGGATAATAAAGTGCTGGGCTCGGAGTCAGGAAGACTGATCTTAAGTTCAAATCTGGCCTCAGACACTTACTAGTTGTGTGACTGTGGGCAAGTTATTTAACCATGTTTGCCTCAATTTCTCATCTATCAAATGAGCTGGAGAAGGAAATGGAAACCACTCCAGTATCCCTATCAAGAAAACCCCAAATGGGGTCACAAAGTCAGAAATGACTGAAAAGTGACTGAACAACACAAAAACCCTCGCAACTATACCCAGGAGTATGTCTAAGTCAATAATTCTCCTCAAGAACTTGCTTTTAATGTACTCCTATTTCAAAGTAAAAGCTGTGCCTTTGGTATTCTTGTCATTCTATAACCAAAATATATAGGCGAATATAAATTCAAATGGAAATTAAGTCTGAGAGGGGAAAGGTCATGATTTTTACTTGTTTCAAAAGAAAAAAAAAGTGTACCTGGTCATTTCATGAAATTCTTTTATAGGATCTTACTTTCTAAGTTCAAACCTATTTGTATGATCAAAGCCTTTAATTCCCATTTAACCCCAGGAATCCTGTATACCATACTCATCAGCTTAAAATAAAATGCAAAAGTGTGATTGGAAACTGAGGACTTATGAGTCAGATATAAAATAACTACAACTGATATACAAGCCATTGCTCAGCTGTTTCTGTCAGGGTCTACAATAGGCTCTTTCTGCTGACCTTCCAAGTTGTCTTGGGTTGGAAATTAGTTTCACTCCATCTTTTCATGGGTTCTGCAGCTCCAGAATTTGTTTAATGTCATATTTTAGAGAGTTCAGGGGAGTCCTTGTTTTACTCTATCATATTAGCTTCCTATAGGTTCACATAGTAGGTTCTTAATAAGTATTTATTGCCTGATTATTATGTGACTGATAGATATCTACTTTGTTTGCAATTCTGTGCTGTCACAAAAAGTGTTACTATAAAGTTACATTTTATCATCAATAATATATTTAGGGTATAAATCTCACAATGAAAATTCTTGGTGAAAAGGTGTACTTTAATCGATTTATTTGCATAGTTCCAAATTGGGCTTAGATGATCACCCTATGTATTATTCCACCATAAATTCAAAATAGATAGTTCATAGAGCAAGATTTGGAAGGGGGTTGGCAGAGAGGTAGGATGTGGGGATTGAGTACTGCTGCAAAGTGGAAAATGATCAGGGTGAAAGAGTATGGTCAGCAGAAGCTCTTTGTTGATCGATAAGTGGTCAACAGTTATGAACAGATTTCTCAAAATAAGGATCGCACAACATCGATAACCAAAGAAATGAATGCTCCAAAGGTAAATGCAAGTAAAAAGTGAGCTTTTGCTTCACGCTTTAGCAAACTGGCAAGAATAACAAGAGATAAGAATAGTCGCTGTCAGAGGGGTGTTGGGAAGACAGGCATACTGATGTATTGTTGGTAGAGCTGTGAATTATTATTATTTTTAGAAAGCAATTTGGAATGATGCAATAAATGATCAAAGCATAACCTTTGACCAAGATTTTTCACTGTGAGGTTTATATCCCAAGGTTGTTTTTGATAATAAGCATGTCTTCATAGACACACAAAAAGTTTATAGCAACCCTTTCTGTGGTAGGACAGAATTGTAAACAAAGTAGAAGTCCATCTGTCAGTGAATATACATTTATTAAGCACCTACTATGTGCCAGCCGCTACGCTTGTCAATTACTAACAACAATATATCAGCAATTGTGAAAAGGCCCAACAAATTTTGTGTGGTAAATTCAGGTAGTGGAATATTGCTGTCCTATAAGAAATAATGACTGTAGTAGATATGAACAAAGAGTTCTCAAAAAGATTGCAAAGCATTAACAACCATATGAATTAATGCTCCAAATCACTAGTAAGATGAATGCAAATTAAAAAACTCCTAAGGTTGATTTTTGTTTTTGCTCCCCCTCCCCACTCCAGCCAGGCTGGACTATATTGTACATGAAGGCAAGCTTTGTATAAAAGCCTGGAAACGAAGGTCTGAGCCCAGTTGTGAAAGTCTCTTTAAGGCCAAACAAAGGCATTTGTATCTGATCCTAGAGGGAAGAGGGCCCCTGGAGCTTGTGGAATAGGACAGTGACAGGGTCAGACGCCTTCTGTCATTTTCTTTTCCCTCCTGGCTTTTTGTAATGCTGAGGACCATGTTGCCTTCCCAAGCCAGCTCCATGCCAATGGGAGGCTGCTGGAGAATCAGAATCTTAGCACAAAGATATGAATGTTGATTAGTGGAATACTGGACTCTTTGCAGAATAAAATTGATGAAAAAGGTTTCTGTGAGAGTGAGAGGTGGGAGAATTAAGGAAAAGCAGACTTTCTTCGTGGCCTTCCTACAGCTATAGATTTATTTGATCTGCTGATAACTATGGTTGAGTTGAGCAGTGTCACTTAACTTTAAGTTCCATTTCATAGGAGAGCCGGAAGGGATCATTTCACTTCTCCAGAAGGGTGGTCCAGAGAACCTCATGTGACCTCCTGGTCACTCAGGAAGCAAGCTGTGCTTGAGGAAGATCATATTGGTGGCTGATAGCAGAAGGGGGAGACTAGAGGTAGGGAGGTGAATGAGAAGGCTATTGCAGTTGTCTAGGTGAGAGGCGACAAGGGCCTGACCTAGGAAGCTGTCCCTTCTACAGAAAGGGACGTGTGGGACAGGGACCACCCACTCAAAATAAAAGCAAAGACTTAGATACCTTGAAAGCAGAAAGGAGTTTATTGCTTTCTCATGAGAAGGGGTACCACCCCTACTCGTCATTGCCAGCCAGGAGATTAGGAGTTGGGAGCTGCACCCTTGGCTTTTTATCCCCTAACGTGATGCCCCCTCTTACTCTCTTACCCCTTTCTCTTTTGACTGGGTACTCAGGGTGTACATTCTAAATGTGGCAGCTAATACCCAATAGAAGTCAACATGCCCATGTTTGGACTAGATGCATATGTGTACTAGGAAGTAGGAGCGACCAGGCACCGAGCTCCCCCACCGTGCTGACATGGTGCTGGAGAAATAGAAGCTTATCGGGGAAAATGGAAACTTAACTCTAGGCTTTCTGGAGGAACAAAACTTGGACCTGTGGGAACTGCACTGTAGGCCATCTCTCACACTCAGGCAGAGTGCAGGAGAGAGATAGGAGCGGAGCAGGGAGGTAAGAGTGTAGCAGGGAGATACTAATAAAGGAACTTCACTGTGAGCCATCCCTGACAGGGATGAGGACGTGGAGCCAAGGTGGCACACAAAAGGCAGGGACTCGCCTGAGCTCTCCCCCAAATGCCTCTGAACACCTTTACATAATGTCATAAAACAGTTCCTGGAGGAGCAGAACCCACAAGTGAGTGGAGCATAGTACAGTGCAGACTGAGCTAACAGATACCCAGCTCCAGCAAATCATGGGCAGGCCTTGGGAGCCATGGAATCAGCAGTGACAGTGACTGCTTCTGGAGCTCTCAGTCCACAGGTGGTAAGGTAGTGAAACAGCTTGTCAGAAGATTATTGGGGTCTCTTTGCTAGCACTGAGCCAGGACTCTGTTGCTTTGCCTATACTCAGGTCCAGGTTGTAGACCTGGGTGGCAGTGCCAGGGTGAAGAGGAGCGCTAACGCACCAGAGCTTGTGGCTGCAGTGGAACCAGGACCTTTGTCAAAGTTCCAGGGCAAAAAAGAGTGCTTGTGGTTTGCTCACAGACCAGAGCACAGGCGGCCCCTCCTGTGCAGCTCATAGTGTCTTAGAGAATTGCCTTTAGCACTGAGAAGTTACCTTGCCCGGGGTCACATGGCCAGGATATGTTAAGAGGAGATTTGAACTGAGCTCTTCCAAGCTTTGAGGCTGGCTCTCTACCCGCTCTAGCTGAATGGTCTCTAGAGGCAAAACCAAAAGAGTGTCTGTCCTCACAGTGTAGAGAAATATCACAATAGTGCACAGGTGCTTTTCTAGGGCACCACTCCTTCTGAGCAGCCTGTGAAGCATCGGGCTCCTGGCTCAGTCCTGAAGGACACGGATGATGATGCGTATGCATGGTATTTGTTTAACAGATTGCTCTGATTATGTCAGTGTGTATATTATAAATGACAGTCTAGGACTCCAGGTTTCAATGCTTCTTTACTTATCCCCCACACAAAATGATGCTTTCTCCTAAAGAGCTGTAAGCTCCAGTTGCTACAATTAAAAATGTAAGGCATCTTCCTGCTTTCCGTTCAATGAATTTGCATTTCCCTTATAAACCTAGTTGTACCTTACTTACCACACAATTCCTTCCTAGTGCAACTCCTTCTTCAGTGAGCTGAGAGGTGCAATGGTCCTTGAAGAGCTGAGGCCCAGAGCAGGTAAGGAATTTGCTCAAAGCCAAATAACAATGAACAGAGTAGAGGATGAACCCATTTCCTTGATTCCAAATCTTGTGCTCTTCCCATGAGTTCATACTGTATTCCTAGGGGTAAGTATTAGCTTTGCTAGACAAATTTTTTTGGTTATGGTAACATCTTTGCTTTCCATGTCTCCCACTCAAGGAATTTAAACAAGACACCATCTTGTTTGTCTTAGACTTTAACTTTAACATCTTTACCTTCTTAGACTTCATTTAACTGCTGTTAACATGTTGTTAAAATGTGACTCATGATAGCCTGGAAAACATTTCTCAGGAATGCAGTCATGTCCAAAGATCAGAACTTGAGTGCAATAAATCAATCTTAGATGAGGAAGTCACCTTGGAGGTCATCTGCTCCAGCCCTCTCATGTGAGAGATGAGGAGAATGAGGCTCTAAGAGTAACTGGCAAGGTCCCTCAGATGGGCGGTGGCAGGAACTGGATTGAGGTCCACATACTCTGGTTCCAAATCCAGCATCCTTTCATTGTACCTTGAAACCTCTGTATGAACAGACACAAAACAGCAGGCATGCATGGATGAGTCCACAGTGTACCCTAGTGACTAGAGAGCTGGCAGTCTCTCTGATTGATTCCCACTAGACTAAGAGTAGCTTCTTTATCACCCCATACCCACACCAAGTGTTATGTACCTGAACAAAGGAATTGGTTTTTTCCTTCTGCTTTTCATATGATGCCACACAAAGAACCTCTAAAAGAGAAGCTGTGAAAAAGAGGATGATGTCTGTCCCAGAAACAGTCATCAAATTGGCCCCTTAATCTCTACAAAAAGAGACTAAACAAGTGTACATTAAGTATTGAGCAACAATGGGCAGAATGTCTGAGCCTAAAATTAGCAAATGGGTGAATCATCTGGTTTTCTCCAGACTTGAAGATAAGATAATGATTAATTTAAAACCATAGCAGGAAGATGAGTTAGGAGACAATGGAAACATTAGATATATAGCCCAAGAAAGACAAATAAACAAAGGAGAGGAGAGAGTTGGTAAATAACACACTCAAGGGTCATTTTGTGTGACAAATTTGAGTTTGAACCTCAATGGAGGAGAGGTTGCTCAGTGAAGATGGTACAGAGAGAGTCTGGAAGTAACAATGGTGAGAGAAGAGTCTTCCACCTCTCTTCAACATGACCCATAATGACTCAGGGTATGAATGTAACTAGTGCTAGAAAGGGTGGCAATGGAAACTGTGGAAGCTACGGTGCCAGGAAAGAGCCATGTCCCAGTGAGGATGGAGTGAGATGGAAGGAGTGAGAAAACAATATGGAGGATAAGAGGAATTTGTTAATTATGGAGCAGGCATGCCAAAGGGCACATTGGAGGCAGAAGACAGACATTGTCCTGGAGTAAGACAACAGGGAACAAGGGTAAACTGATTAAGTGTAAAGAAGAGGCAAGTCAAAGATGGGGAATTGTTTAAACCTCTGAGGCAAAGGCTTCAGAGTTACTGGGATGGGATCCTTGCAAGGGAATGGAAATATGGTAGCCATTGGCAATGAAGCTACGCAAAGTATTGATGGCTGGGAAAAGATTACTTACAGGAAGAACCAGATTAGAGTATTCCAGGTTGTTACTTGATGTTGGACCTCCTGGTAGACAGAGATGCTCTGTCGTCTGATACCCTAGGAGTCCTGCTTCACAACAGGCAGGACCAGGAAGCAGTATGGAAGCACAGGCAGGAGGCAAGGATAGCTTGCTTGTCCTAGAGAAGGCCCTAGGGCACAGAAGATGGAAGAGGTCTTATATAAAGATGGTAACTGGTCACAGAGCCCTACGGACTTGGGAGGAGGACAGTGATGTTTTACACTCAACACACACACAGAGACACACTGCAGAAGATGAACCTCTAATGTAATGACAAACTAGGCAAGAGGGCAGTGGAGCACCTCCTTCAAGTCGTAACCTAGTCCAAGAAGTAGCCTTGAGTGTTGGAGCAGAATGGTTCCATGGCCGCCAGTTATTGGATGCCTGATAGCCATCAGTGTTATGGGCCCTTACCAAAGATTACTGATTTGTGGGCTCATCAACTATGACAATGCCACCATCAAAAGGGTTTTTTGAACTGCTGTGGATTCTTGATGAATGTGAATAGGATATAAATGAATGAAAAAATTTATATTGTTTATTATCTGCCAGATAATTTGGGATTAGGGATACTAATACAAAAGCAGAACAGTCATTGACCCCAAAGAGCTTACATTCTAATTGTGAGAGACAAAACACATAAGGGATGTGGGAAATGTCATGGACAGAGAGTAAAGCTTTAGGGCAATTGATATGTCCTTTCTCAGGATGCTAGTGTTGATCTGATTATTGTTCCCGAAGAAAGAGGAGAAAATGGGGAAAGGGGGTGGCGCACTCGGCATTGACATTGCATGAACATGGCCAGACTGCATCAGTGTGGTGGGTCTGGTTCAGGCTAGTTATGGAGAGCTGTCACCGATCAGAGCCCAGGTCAAGAGCTGGAAAGCTGCACTGTGTAGTATTGGGGAAAACGTTGGGAAAGGAATGAGATGAACTTGGACCTTGCAAGAGCTGCCTCATGTCCTGAAGCCTCCTCAGTTGTCAAGACAGGTAGCTAGAAAAGGAAGCCTCTAGATATTATTAACTAAACCTAGACCTGGGATTTGCTAGAGAAAATGAAATGGAGTGGGAACTGTGAACTCTGATGTGTGAAGGGGCATGTCTCTTTTTCCAGACCCAGAACGAGTGTGGAGAATATAATTGTAGAACAGGCTGAATTTCCTCTGAGGGGCCCGAGGCAACTCTTGCTAGGCTGGGCAGAAGACACTCACTGCTGCTCTGAGGACCTAGGAGAATCTTTTGGCCCTGAAGATTTTCTTTGAAACAAATGGCTAGAGACTTGGGGAAAGGTGAAATCCAAGTCCATATTGTTTGTATAAATGAATACTGCAGCAGGAGAAGGCTTGCTCACCTGAATAACTCCTGAGAGACCACTGGAGACACAGACTGGGAGCTCCAGTGACCATGAACTTAGCCGGGCATACAACTGTCCAGCCTGGGAATGGGAGTGGACAAGCTCCAGAAGAAGGTGGAGGTGGATGATAAAAAGAGAGCTCCTCTCACTGAAGCCCTTGAGGTCTGAGCCCTGAGACTGAGGCAAAGCTGAATAGGAGGAAGAGTGTTAAGACCTCTGGGTGACAGTAATTTACCAGGATACTGTGCTACTGCTCTTGGTTGTAGACAGAGATGGAAGCAGTCTTACAAGTCATTGAATGTGACCCTTTTATTTTCTAGATGAGGAAACCGAGGCCAGAGAGTTGAAGTGGCTGCCCACAATCACATAGAAAATGGCAAGAGTGAGGATTCAGAGAAGCCCTTTGACTCAAATTCTGAACTGCATCTGTCATATCTTGCTGCCTCCCTGAAAAGGTGTTATATTTCTGTTGTTAATAAACCTGTTTATTCAATTGTTTGAATCTTCCTGCTTGAGGAGGTACCAGAAGGAAAGCTGCTTTAGCTATTCCTTGAGGTTGAAATCTGGGCAATTGCTGAATTATTTTTGAGAGGTTGAGATTTTGAGCCTGTGGTTATAGTGGTATGAGACCACCAGAAAGGGAGAAAAAAATACTGGCAGCCTTCAAAATGGAAACAACAGCCCTTGGAATGGATTCCATGCCAACAAAAATGGAGAGAGGAGTTAGTTGGGTGTAACATTAGGCTTATAATTCCCAACAGGGATCATGCCTCCCAACTCCACTCTTAGTTTCACTAAAGAGGCCATTCATTTGAACAAAGCATATGTCCCTGGGCATGTTTAAAGGATTAAAGGTGAGTTCAAAAGGCCCACAAAATGACAGAAATGAATAAACACACAAATGAGCCAAAATAGTGACATCTTGATTGTTAAGGAGAAAAGCCAATGGGAATAAGTACTGATAGGCTGGTAGGGAAACATCAGGGAGCCCAATTCCCCCAAATAAACCCACAGTGATTTCCCAAGCTGTCGTTTGACCAATGCTGTGAACACACCAAAGCTGAAACAGACTGAGGTCTGGCCAGCAATATAAATGCTCCAGAAACATTATTTTTTAAAATTTATTTTAAACTTTTTTAGTTTTGGTTTTAATACTTTAAAGCAAATATATGTTAAGAAAAGAAAAGGAATATAATATAAATTTAAATATTAAAACTTAAATACAAATTAAGCAAAGAAAAAATGCATTGCCATGTGAACAGCAGAACATAAGAGAGGATTCAATATATACAGCAATACATTTCCATTTCACAAAAGCTTACATAAGAAATACTATGCCTTGTGTATAGAGCTATACATCTTTTCTTTGCTTCCTTGTAAATTTTCTTTGTTCTCTGCTGTGCACTTTTTACTTTGTTCTTTCCTCCCCCCTTACCCCCTTCCTCAGTAAGGCTACAATTAAGTGCAGATATATGTATATGTATAAATATATTAAATATATGTATATAGATTTGTATATATGTGCATGTATATATACACACATCTATATACTTATACATACATATACCTTATGTATACATATACACATACAAGAATGAATATGTATGCACATATACACACAAAGCTATATATACATACATACCTATATGCATAGACATACATATATTTTGATATGTATAATCATCCTCATATATAGACAAGTACATTCATATGCATCTTTGTAAGACTATACTATACTGTTCTCTGCTTCTCTAAGGGTGAAGGGTAGATAATGTCTTCCATCATTAAGTATGAGTCTTTCCATATTTTTCTAAGTCCACCAACTTGTGATTTACCACACCACAGCAGTATTCCAACCTTATGCTATCTAGATATTTCAATACTCTAAAACAATATGGATTAATATGACTGACATGTAGTGTAGTTTCACTATTTTTCTCTTTTGATTGAATCTATTTTAGCTTTAACTTTGTCTGAGATCATGATTACTACCCATACTTTTTTTCCCCTAGTAAATTCCACTCCTGATATCTATTTTGTGTTTGCATGTATCTCTTATTTTCTATCCCTCTTTATTTCTCAACTTTACTTCTACCTATTACCTTGCCCTTCTATTACTTAACCTACCCCCCTTCCAAGGATCCCTCCTTTATCCTTCCATTCCTGTTAATCTAAACACCATTCTATACCCCTCTTATCCTATTCCCTCACTATCCCCTCTAAAATCCCTCCCTTAGCCTCTCCTCTCTCCCTAAGCCCCTAGCCTTTTATTTCTTTCTGAATTTAGAAGACTTTTCTACACATATACATATGTGTGTATACATACAGATGTATGTATTGTTCCTTCTTTAACTCATTCTCGATGAAAGTAGAGTTCCAGAACTACCAGTCCCCCTCCCCCATCTAATTCCTGTGTCAGTTCTTCTTCTCATACCTCACTGATATAACATAATTACTCTTTATGCCTTTTCCTAAATGGTTTTGTTTTTTAGAATCATATCATACTCAGTTGTACTCCAATTTTTCTTTTGAACTACCCTATTACTAATAAAAATATTCTTCTCTGAATTCCTTTTGGGCATGTATCCATTTGGCATTACTCTTTGGGGTAGGAGATGTTTTTTCTTTTGCTTTAGTATCCTCCTCTCAAGACAAACCCTGGTCTTGTCAATTTCCATAGTAACTTTCTGTGGTTGGAGTCTTTCTCCTTTGCCTGCTCTTTTTTTATTATTTGTAGCAGATAATTTTTTGTAGTCACCTCTAGTTCTGGGGTATGGTAGGCGCCTCTGGCCTGAGGTTCTGTTTCAGTTCTTCTCTCTGGCCTGGAACTGAAACCAAGAACTCAGCCCTCCTGTAAGTGCCCACAGCCAGCAGCATTCTGGCCCCACTGCTTCTGCACTCACCAGGTGTTCCTTCACCCCCAGGGCCATGCCTGGGCAGCCCAGCTGGCTCTGGACTCCCTTATCAGCAGAGGTTCCCTCAATCTTCCCCTGCTCAAGCTCTTGACTTTCCACATTGTCTGGGAGGTGAAAGTTCTTGTGACTGGTGCTGAAGCTACTTCCCAACCCAGCTAGCCCCAGGGCCCACTGCTTTCTGTTTCAGCAGAACTGGCCTGAAGCTGTTTATGCTACACAGGGCACCAAACCTCAGTCCTGGGCTTTTTCTACTATTCTCCAGTTTTCCCAGGAGGACTACTGTCCTGCCCCAACTCTTGTGTATTTTTTACCACTCTATGTTCACACTGAGGCACTATTTTGGCTTGTGTAGGGGTAAATCTGGGGGACTTGGAATTTTCTTCATCTCGTTAAATCCTCCCCAGGAACATTATTTTTAATTTTTTCTGTACGTAATTACCAAAAAGAGAGGGCATTTCCATACACACAGCAAAACAGAAAAGCAGGGCTGGGTATGGAGCCATGCATTTCTATTGCACATGTCTTGCTTTTATATATATACACACATACACACACATATACATATATATATACACACACATATACACACATATACATATATATACACATACACACATATGCATATACATATATAATATATACATGCACATATATGTATATATATATTTTAAAAGTCACATTAAAAATGGTCCTACTCGTCAGTATTTTCCTTTGAACTTCATTCTGTTCTCTTCAGTGCATTTTTTAAAAACATATTTCATTGACCCTTGCTTTTATATCACTCTTGCTAACTTCCTCAATCGCAAGAATGCCCAGTATTAAAAAAGAGAAAAACAAATCCTTTGTAGCATATAAACATATTGAAGCGAGGTTAATCAGAGTAGTTCCCATGGGCACCTCCAAAATTACATGTCTCTCTGTACTTTGACTCCATCACTTTCATGTCAGAGGGTAGGTAATATCCGTCATCATAAGTCCTTTCAAGACACGGACGGCCATTGCATTGATCAAAGTTTTGCTTGCAAAGTTCCTTTTCTTTGCAGTATTGTGGTCCTTGTAGAAATTGTACCGGCTCTGATCGCTTCACTCTGCGTAAGTGCCTGCTGCTGCTGATTCACTATTGAATAATCTCTTTTTATCATTTCTTACGATGTATTAAAATTCTGTTGTATCTGTGTGTCACAATTTGTTCAGTCATTTCCAAGTTGATAGGATTTTCTTTACATGCTATTTCTTTTCTCTTTTTGGGCTCTTTTAAATGCCTGTTCAGGATCAAGAAGTCTGATTTCTTTGCAACCATTTTTTCACCTCTTAGCTCCCAAGGGCAGCTAGATGGCACAGTGGATAGAGCACTGGGGTTAAAATGAAGAAGGCTCATACTTGTGAGTTCACATCTGGCCTCAGATACACACTAGCTATGTGATCCTGGGCAAGTCATTTAACCCTGTTTGCCTCAGTTTTCTCATCTGTAAAATGACCTGGAGAAAGAAATGTCAAACTACTTAAGTATCTTTGACAAGAAAACTCTGAGTGGCATCATAAAGAGTTGAACAGGACTGAAAAAAACACTGAACAACTCCCTAAATCCTCACTTTTTCTCCCTGATGAGTTTGACGTAAATGCATGCCAAACTATTTGTGTGCATTCTTTACCTGTTTCAGATAAATGTCAGCTTCCTGTGACTCCCACCTCCCCACCCATTCCTCCAAATTTGTATACTTTTGTCACACACCCCAATTATAGGAAATAGCAAGTTCCACCGATTACTTCCTTATTTCTGTTCTTAAAAATTGCAGAACAGAACCACTCCACCTCTAGGTCTTCTGTTTTTTTCTTATGTAATTCCATACAGATATCTTGAAAATATCAAGCTCTGAAGGAAAGTTGCTTCTCTCCCTACTAGGATGTTAGCACTATATCATTATGCAGTTCCTTCTAGTTGTTCAAATATATTTACCCTTCAAGGTTTCTCTGGATCTTTGTGTTTATATTTCAAATTTCCAAAACTTTGGTAATTTTGTGAGAAATTCTTGATGATCCTTTTTTCCCCTTAAAGGTCTACTTTTCCACCATACATTGTACTCAGTACTTCAGGGTAAGTAATTCTTAGCTATAAAGCTATCTGTTTTTGGTTTTGGAATATTGCATTCCAGGAGTTCTCATTTGTAGAAGAAGCCACCAGGTTTTGTGTAATCCTAACTATAGATCTTTAAGTACTTGAACTCCTTTTTGGATGCTTGGTCTTTTTTCCACCTTAGATATTTCCTTTCGGTGTTTCCTTCAGGAAGTGATCAATGGATTCATCATCACTTTTTTCTCCAGTTCTAATATATCTGAGCAATTTTCATCTATGATTTCTTGAAATATAATGTTCATACTTAAAAAAGTCATGAATTTCAAGGAGTCCAATGATTTTTAAATTATGCCTACACAACTGATGGAGCGTCAATAGCTTTAAGAAACTGGGGGAAAATTTTTACACTAATTTTTGTCTGAAAAAGGCCTCATTTCTCAAATACATACTGAGCCAAATTTATAAGAATAAGAGCCATTCTTCAACTGATAAGTGGTCAAAGATATGAACAGGTGGTTTTCAGATGAAGAAATTAAAGCTATCAATAATCATTTAAAAGTGTTCTAAATCACTATTGATTAGAAAAATGCAAATTAAAACAAATCTGAGGTACCACACCATAACTACCAGACTGGCTAACTCAAGAGTAAAGAAAAATGATAAATGCTGTAGAAGGTATTAAAAACAGGTATATTAATCTATTGTTGGTGGAGTTGTAAAGTGGTCCAACCATTATGGAGACCTATTTGGAACTCTGCCCAAAGGACTGACTATAAAACTGTGCATTCACTTTGACCCACTACTAGGTCTATACACAAAAGAGATCAAAGAAAAGGGCAAACAACTCACAGACACAAGAATATTTACAGCAGCTCTTTTTGTGGTGGCAATTTATGATCGGCTTCCCTAAACATTTGTTATTCCTTGGGTTTTCTGTAAGAATTTGGACTGTGGTTGGGTTATTTAGGAACAGTAAGCATCATGAATTATCAATATTGCCCCAAGAACTTTTTTCTTCTATTATCATCTCAGGCCCTATACCACAAGCAGTAAGTAGATGATTTGAAGAAGCTGGTGAACATAAAATTTTCAAGGCATTTTGTTCAGAGGTGACAGTGAGGCCTTTTCTTCTCTGGTAAAATCCGACATTGTGTGGAAATGCCGCCTCTTTCCTTGGCCACAATGGTTCTTCAGCCCAGGGCACTACTTGACAGAGAGGCCTGATGGCTTCCCAAATTTATAATTCAGATCAATTTTTCATCTTCATAACGTTAGTGTTCTTCCATAAATTCTAGGAAAAGATTGCTGATCAAACTACCACCATTTAAGATAACAAACAGATTTGTTATAATTGAACCCCACAAAAATGCAATGTGCTCTTTTCCCTCCCAAAGAGCACACTGAATGTGTAGTGTGCCAGTGTGATAAAGTTTCAACTCAATCAACCAGGCTTCATTTATTAAGCTAACTACAAAGGGCCAGGCTTTCTAGGGTCTAGGAATGGAGTCAGTGAGTGAGCTAGCATTTAGGTACCTACTATGTGCCAGGCATTTATGCTAACCTCTGGGGATACAAAGAAAGGAAAAAAGTCACCAACAAGAATGAAATAGTGTCTGCCTTCAAAGAACTTCCATTCTATCAGCGGAACCAGCTTATACACATATTATATTTTGTAGACCCATGATTTCATCTCTGTGTCTGCCTATTGAGATCACCATTTCCTCTGAGTTACAGTTCTGGTCAGTCATTTAGAGTACTGACAGGTTAACTGCTTTGCTCATGGTCACCAAGATGGAACTGAACCCGGGTGTCCTTGACTCCAAGATGGCTCTTCTCCCACTGTGCCGTATTGTGAGTGGGTGTCTGAATATATAGAAATTCCTATGTATGATATGTCCTTTCAACCTAAAATCCCAGTCCCAAAAAGCCATCTCAGCTTCCTCAACTAAGAAGCTTCACATCTTCTCCTTATGTTATTCTCATCTACATATGAATCCAAATGGAAGAAGGGAAAAAAGGACGACAGAGATTCAATAAGCTGTGAGCTGAATTTATTATATGGGGAGTGTAAAGGAGAGCATTAGTCCTTTGGAAGAATGATTCATGTTAATCTAACAAGGTTGGAGCTACTATCTAATGCTCAATAATAGAGGCTGATAACTAGGCAGATAGAGAGATTCACAAAGACAGCTTGAGTCAGTCTTCCAGGCAAAGCTACAAATAAACAAAAAAATATGGCCTTAGTTAGGTTTTATTCCACAATATTGTTTTTGGGGCAATCTGTTCCTGTTATTGTTGCTGTGAGCTATGAAGGCTACTCAGGAGCAACCGCCATGGAGGTTGTTATATTTTATGTTTTGGATTTTATATTTGATTCTGGATATAATAGAACCACTAGAATTTATTGGGAGGAGGCAAGGAATTGAATAAGCACCATGGTCACAGCTAAGCTTTAGGTATATCCTTTGGTAACCCAATGGAGAATGGACTCAGCAAAACCTTCTGCAGGAAAAGAGGCATTCAGATTCTGGCTGGTCCAGGTCATTAAGCTATTGAGGGTAAATTGGAAATTCAGCCAGGAGGTTTTTTTTAAACTGCAAAAACAAGTATTCTTCCCACTGCACCACCCACCCACCAAGTTCAGTACGAACAACTTATCTTTACCTGTGTTTATTGAGGTCCTCTTTGGGGGACATTTTGGGGATTTCTTAATATGGGGGATTTCCAGGATTTGGCCCATATCCACCATATGGAGGATATGAAGGTCCTCCAAGAAATGGACCATTTCCAGGATTTCCAGGATACTGAGGCCTCGGAGCAAATCCTCCAAAAAGTGCCTGCTAAAAGAAAGAGAAAATAGCAGACATGAGGTTATGACATTCTGCTTCATTTGTAATATTGTCAATTTCTTAGTATTCTTGATGACACTGAAAAAATAGGTATATACAAATGTAACAGGATTTGTAGAACTGCTCACCCATGACAGGGTTGTTTGAATCACCTGACTCACCTGTTTGCGCTCTCGAGTAGACTTGGCTTATGTATATATTTGACCTCTTTAGTACAACAACAGAAAATCTCTCAATCAACTAACCCATGAGGACTCACCAATTCTTCAAATATGATTTATTTGATAAAGTGGAGAAGCCTCATTCCCAAATACTAGTTATTCTTTTCATAGTTCATGCTTTTAAAAAAAGCTCAGACAGTTCTCTTTTCTATATTTTCTCACAATTGAAAAAAGAAACAGCAAACAGTATACTTTCCTTGACTCCATTGGGAGAAAGATGGAAAGGAAAAAGCACAGACTTTTCATGATTCCACAGGGAGAAGATAACCAGAGATGATGGTCATTACTGTAACTATGGCTTCTCTATTCTTACGCATGATATAGTGGAAAGAAATAAATACCTCTAGAATTAAAAGACCTGGCTTCAAACTCTGCCTGTAATGTCCACTGTCTATGTGAACCTGGGTGAGTCATTTAATCTTGAGGGGACTCAGTTTCCTTAGCTATGAAATGAAGGGGTTAGATGAGATGGCCTGTAAGGCTCTTTCTACCTCTAGATCTCTGATACTGTGAGAGAGACACCATGGCCTCTGAAGGAAGGAGTTTAGAAACAAAGTTTATAGATGAATCTATAGCAGGAGATTCCAAGACTGAGTGAGATGGGACCTTAGAAATCTGGTCCATCATCACTGAAACATAGAATAGAAAAAATGAGGTGACCTGATCAGTGTTACAGAGGTAATAAGCAGCAGATTCTACCCTGAATGACTGGAAAAGAATGATGACAGAGAAATATATACTGAAATCCTTCTTTAAAATAAATTTCAAAGTGTCTAAGAAATTTTTCCTTATGCTTGAAGGACATTGGCAGAGAAACCCATCTACATGACATTAAAATTAAATAAAAAGAATTGTTCTTAGTAAAAAAAAAATCAATTTATTTTGTGGACAGAACTGTTTGTGCATGAACTAGTTATCCCTGTTATTCAGTGGCAACCTAATATCTGTGAAAGTTTTGAGAAAATGCGTTTTACTCAAATTCTTCAGATATAGACAGGAGTCAATAAAAGGGAGAACTGATCTGTTTCATAGATGACATGTCAAAAATCCACTGTTGCTTAGTGATATGGGCATCATGATGAAGCCCGTGTATAGGCACAATTCTATTTAGCCACAAAAAATGTGGCTAGAAATCAGCTTGGAGGCCAAAAACTAGTAAATAGCAGAATAACTAGATCAGATAGTTGGAATTTGAGGAGATATGTTAACTCCTCACTCTCTAAATCCAAACCAAACCAAATTGAGTCATTTCAGCCAATATTTGTTAAGATCTTCCTTTGCGCAAAACCCTAGGCATATAAATGAGACTCCACTGAGACTCTACAAATGAGCAGAGAACCTTAAAATATCCAAGAATGCCTCTGATGTCTCTTGTGCTTGGAATGAGTTAGTGAAATCCTATAGAATCTTTGGCAAAATGATGTACAATTTAGGGAAGTAGGGAGAAGAGGCTGAGTATGGGAGTCATTTCCCGCAGTAAAATTTGACCTTATTTAACATGATTATTGTAATGTAGCAATTCTACCCCAATCAATGAATATGGAAGATAAATGTGTAAGCAGATTGTGTATTCAGAGCTAGTAAACTCCTAGCAGTCTCATACTTAATGAATGGAACCAATATCTATTTCTGCTTTATTTAAATCCATCTTTGCTCAGGAACAATGAACAATAAGATATTTTTTGGGGGAAATTAAAGATAAAGAAGTATACCAACATAATTTGCAACATGTTAAATCCAATAAATTACATGTTAAACACAATAAAATATAATTTTACCTCTCTGCAACAATCCCGCCAATAATACTTCTATTAAGATAAAGGAAAAAAAATTAAGGATATTCATTACTGAATTTCATTTAACTACTTTGAATTTGTTTGAAAATGTCTTACCTCTTCAGATGAATGGTCAGCTCCCTTTGGAAAAGAAAAACATAAATAGATTGAGTTATATGACATATTAAAACAAACAAACAAACAAACACATTGAGTTAACTGGGTTATGGAATGAGTTTCCCCTACACTGAGGAAGAGCAGAATTTTGTCCCAAATATGTAGATAAACATTCATCATCTTCACATTTGTTTGGGGAAATCTACATCTTGTCCCTTCTAGGGCAGGAAAAAGCTGGGAGTATAAAATGAAGAGTTGCTTAGCTGAGGCTACAGGCACAAGGAAGTTTTCTAGCTTCTTCAGAGACTGATATAGATAGTAAAAACAAAACAAAGAAACAAATTAAAATGTACTAATCTGGAGACACGGGAATGCCAAGTCTCCAGATGCCAAAGGACCATTGTTGGAAAGAGGGGTCGATCGCTCCCAACAACAGCCCCTTCTCAATTTCCCCAAGTGCTTATGGCCAGGACAGCCAGAAGAGGCACAAGAAAGGCTAAAAGATAGAGCTTTATGGTTCTAGGCTCCTATGGAATAGAGAGGACAAAAATCCCTGCTGCCTTTAGTCTCTTTTCTGCTTTGTGTTATATTTGTCTTTCTTTTTTCTTTGCAAGGCAATTGGGGTTAAGTGAATTGCTCAGGGTCACACAGCTAGTAAGTGTCAAGTGTCTGAGACCAGATTTCAACCCAGGTCCTCCTGACTCCAGGGCCGGTGCTTTGTCCAATGCACCACCTCGGTGCCCCCATATTTGTCTTTTCAATGAAGAAGAAACTTAGGTAAATAAATTAACTCTCATTTCTGTGGTGCCATTGAGTTTTAAAGTGTTTTGATTCCAAGAACCTTATGAGAAAATGTTATTTATTTTCATTTTACAGATGAGGGAACTGAGTCTCAAAAACTTAGATGACTTGTATCTATGTAGCCAATGAGTGTCAGAGCCACAATTTGGATGTGGGACACAATGTCAAGGACTCATTGCACACAGCATGCACTCACAGTGTCTATAGGTTTCTTGCAATTTGAGAAACAACATTAAAAAAAATTCAATTTAATTTTAGTTTCAGTTCCAAATTCTCTCCCTTTCCCTCTTTCACTCATTTGAGAAGGTAAAAAAACAAAGGTCATCACAAACATGTATAGTCATTCAAAACAAATTCCCTTAATAATAAAGAAGTAAAGAAAGAAGAAGGAAGGAAGGAAGGAAGGAAGGAAGGAAGGAAGGAAGGAAGGAAGGAAGGAAGGAAGGAAGGAAAGAAGGAAGAAAGAAAAAATTAACAAAGAAAGGTAGGCATGAAGGAATCAAGAAAGAAGGAAAGAATAAAGAAAGGAAATGAAGAAGGGAGATAGGGAGGGAGGAACATTGGAAGAAAGAAAGAAATGAAAAAAGGGAAAAGAAGAAAGGAAGGGACATGGAGAGGAAGGAAGGAAAGAACAGGAAAGAAGGTAAGAATGGAAGAAAAGAAACACAGAGAAGGGAAGAGAGGAAGGAAAGGAGGAAGAAAGGAAAGCAGAGAAGGATCCAGGAGGTAGGGAAAAAGAAGCATGGCACAGAAGCATTTTTCATTCTGTTTAATGACCCTCAGTTTTTATGACCACAATTGTCTATATCAACCATTCCTAATTACCTGATATTGAAGAGAGGGCACTCAGGAAACACTAAAGTGTCCAGATTCACTGGGTTGTTCCATTAAGACCCAAGGGAATATTTCTCTGTCTCCCATGAATTCTGTGCTCGGGAGCCTTAGGCTGTAAAAACAGCTCACATTTATGGGAGAAAGGGAAAGGACCCTGACTTCAAGGTCTCGCTGAGAAATTCTACCAACGCACCTTCCCTGCAACTGAGAGTCCTACAAAGTTGCCTGGAACCCTGACAGGTGACGTGATTTCCCAGGGTCACAGAGCCAGGGTGAGAGAGATCAGACTTTCTCAGTCAGAGACCAGCTTTTTACTCATCTTACCTTGGCTTTTTGTACCTCACACGTATCTGGTGCTATGAAGGTATTAAGGTCTTTATATGAATTATCTCCTTTCATCCTTATATGTCAGCCTTGCAAGGTAAATAGTACAATGCACTTTACAGATAAGGGAAGTGAGTTCCAGAGAAATGCATTTTACATATCTCTAGGTGAGGACTTCAGACTTGTAGTATCAACAGCAACAAATCCCATTTACAAAGGAAATCTACACTTTTCAAAATACTTCTGACAGCTACTGAGACAGCCAGGTGGCACAGTGGAGAGAGATGTGACCTTGCAGTCAGGAAATTCCGTGTTCCTTGGACATTCATTAGTCTGTGATTCTGGGCAAGTCAATTAACCTCTGCCTCCCTCAGTTTCCTCATCAGTGAAATTAGGATAATGAGTTGTACCTCCCTCCCAGGGCTGTTGCAAGAATGAAATGAGTTATTCCTAGGGAGCTGTGTAAATTTTAAAATGTTCTAAAAATAATGGCTATTATGTGCTGTCTTATTTGATATCCACAACAGGGAATAATCCGGGAGAATATTATTGCTCAAGTTTTAAGCATATGGGAATTACAAGATAGTGGAAACTTTTGTATAATAAATGGCTGAGATTGGACTCAAATGGGTCTCCTGACTCTGTCAATCAGCTGACCCAAGCAATTTCTCTGGTGCTAAGTGGAACAAAGACACGAACCAAAGCATTCTGGTCCTCAAGGAGATGACATTCTGTCAGCAGGAATAACATGTGCCTAGAAATTAAGGACTGAGCTGGTTGTGAAACAGAGGGGTCGTATTTCATCCTAGGGCCCCTGGAGCTTAAGGATCAGAAGAAAGACCTGGCCAGAGCTGTGCCTGAGGAATATCCTGTTGTCAGCTGCAGGGAGGATGGATGAGAGAAGGAAGGGAGAGGCAGGGAGACCAATGAGGAGGCTACGGTGATCATTCAGGTGAGAGGTGAGGAGGGCCAGACTTCCTCCAGAAGGGAATGGATGTGAGAATTGTGGCAGACCCAGAATCATCCAAATCTGCGATTGGATATTTGAGGAGAGGGAGTAGCTACATTTGAGGCTGAATTTCTATGTCTAGGCCCTTGGGAGGATGGGGCTCGAATGAGATAATGTTTATATTGTGCACAGCACAGTGACTGACTCACAAGCAGGCACTTAATACATTCTGATTTCTTTCCCTCTCCCTGGCTCTCTCTCTCCCACTCTGACAGAAATAGATAAGTTTAGAATAAGGGTGAGCCAGGGGAGGGGGAAAAGATAATGACTTCTATTTTGGTCCTGGGGAGTTTGAGATGACTATGAGCCAGCCACTTCCAAATGTCCAGTAGCTCACTGGATCGTGGTGTAGAACTGGAGCTCAGGAGAGACAACGTGATATCATTGCTGGAAATTGCAGAGAGGAAGCTTTAGGTTTCATGGAAAGAAAACTATCCTAATAATTAGAGCTATCCAAAAGAAGAATGATCTGCCATGATGGGTAGTGAGCCCATTCCCCTTTGTTGCCACCACCAGTAGACATACAAAGTCTAGATGACCATTTGTAGAATATATTGTTGAGAATATTCTGTTTCAGTATGAATCAGATGAGATACCCCAAGGAGGCCCCTTCCAACTCTATTCTTCATTCATTTCAATCATGCCTGACTCTTCATGATCCCATTTGGGGTTTTGCGACAAAGATACTGGAGTGGTTACCTCCATTTCCTTTCCCAGATCATTTTACAGATGAAGAAGTGAGGCAAAGAAGCTTAAGTGACTTGCACAAGGGTTATACAGCCAGTAAGTGTCTCAGGCCAGATGTGAACTCATGAAGATGAGTCTCCCTGACTTTAAGCTCATGTTCTAACATACTTTGGTCACATTAGGACTAATTCTGTTTACCTTACATCATATTGCCACTCAATCTTTGTAGTTACCTACTTCTAAAAAACACATGGCATTTCTCCAAAAGCCAGACAATAAAAAAATTGGAGTTAATTGAACTTTTAAAAAAATGTGAGTTGGGAACAGCAAAAACCTATAACTTGGTAAGCATGGTAAATTTACTTTATTTGATAAACCCAATGATACTGAAGATGCTCCTGGGGCAGACTTGGGGTAGAAGGAGAAGATCAGGCAAAAGAACCCAAACAAAATCACATTGGTGGAGGAAAGAAGAGTAGCAAAGGAGAAAGCAGAGGCAGAACAAATCAGAGGAAGGAAAGCTAGAAGAGAGGAGCATCTGGGCAGCAGAGGAGGGGAGTAAGTTAAGCAGGTGACCCTTCTTCAATGGGACAACAAGCTATTTCAGGAGAAGACTTCCAAAATTCCTGCTTTGGGAAAGAAGGGAGAGGAGCACAAAGTGGTACGTTGACATTGAAAGAAAAAGCCAATACTGAGCTTATTTTCAGGGGAAGACAAGCAAAGAGTCAAGTGGAGAACAGTATGCCAGATTGTCCAGTTACTACAATTTTTTTTACTAGTTCTACTTTATGAGAATTGTACTGTTATTTCTATGACCCTCGTAGTCCCCTTGCTAACCTATAGTTTGTAAAATCTATGTTACCCCATGTGAAAAATTGGCCATCTTCAGTTCTCCAACATCTTACCAATTTTGAGGCTTCTGGTGAGTTACTTAAGTTGCCTGAGCCTCAGTTTCCTCATCTGTAAAATGAATTGGCTGGACCACATAGTTTCTGAAGTTTTTACCAGTTCTAGATCTATAATTCCATCAAATCTCCCTTTCCCCATACCAAATGTACATATATTTAGTATTTAAAAGTATCAGAATTTCTCTATAAACCGTTATTATCTTATACATTTTATACCTTGTTCCTCACATACATTTTTCATTGATAAGATGCCCATTCAGTGATACATTAGAACAAAAATTACTTGATATAGGACATGTTACAGATGACTGGAAGATAAGATCTTCTTTAGAGAGAGGATGGGATTCAGGATATCTCAGAGCTATTTAAACTCTGCCATCAGTGATATGCTAGTTGTTTTTATTGTAAATAATGTCAATAGTGACCTTGAATTGTCTTTCCTGACTGTGAACGAATATTGATTTTGTGCCCATTTTCGGTACCCACCCATGCCAAGAAGTCATTTAACAAGGCAAGTTTCACAATAGACTGTATCATTGAAGGCTCCAAATTGAAAACTAAAATATCAAATGCTTAATCCTTGTGCCAGTCTGGGCAGATAAAGGTGAAGAGGATGTGATGACTCATAATTGGGATGTAAGTTCTTTAAATAACACAATTGGTAAGTATCTGAGGCAGAATTTCAATCCTGATCTTGCCAACTCCAATTGAAACATTCCATCAACTATGACCTATAGATGTGCTGCAGGATGTGTTCTTCAGCTGTAGTTTAGTCTAGGTGCCCTTTGGGTCTCCTCCAGCCTAAGATTCTGTGATTCAGTGATCATAGCACTTAGTAAGTGTCTGCAATATACCGGCCAGAGGAAGGCCGACAATTTTGTGCAGCTCTCCCTCATTTAAATACAATTCACACATAAGTCAAGACATCATTCTCATAACGTCATTGGTCCTCTTCAAGAACAATGGTCCACCACCTCCGCCACCACCAATGACAATAAGCAAACAATGTACAAAGTTGACAGGATGTAAAGCCTAAGTTTGGGATTTAGAATCTGCTTCTATCCCATCTCAGAATCCCTGGGGAAAGTTACTTAACCTCTTGGTTAAGTAACTAGACAACTCTCAATTATTATGCCATCCAGACAAGTTTGGGATCCACATTACTGTAGAGAATTTGCATAATAGAAATCCCTCATATCCATAGTGCACTAGAAAGTGAGAAAATTTTTTTAAAGAAATGTGTTACTGCACTGTAGACCAGCAATATAAAAACAAAACTAGCTCTGCTCTCAATTAACTTTTAGTCACTAGTTGGAAGAGAGAGGACTGTACAATATACACAGATCGGGAAATGTAAGGCAGTCTGAGAAGGGAAAGAATATTAATGCCTGGAGAGATAAGAAAATGATTTATTAACAACATAATGTCAGAGGCGAGCCTTCAAGAATTGTAAGGATCTTTTGAAGTGGAGGCGAACAGGGATTTATTTATCACTGCATTAAAAGCAAGCAGGATAGGGTGTGGAAATGCATGGAGGTGGGGGATGGAATATTGAGTTTGGGAAATGTTATTAATTCCATTTTGGTTTGACAGGAGTAATGCAAGAGAGAAAAGGCAGGGAAATTACCCTGGGATAAGATTGTGAAAGAAAATGGAATTTGCGTTTTAGCCTGACTTTTTTGCTCCATCATTATCTCCCGCTCATGCATCATCTCCCAAGTCTGGGTCTTGCATCCATTTTTCTTCTCTCTACACACTATCTCAACTAGAGTCCTCCTCAACTCTCAAGATTTCAGTTATCACCTTTTTGCAGGTGACTTCCACATCTTTACACTCAATCTTCATTCATCTTTCTCAGAAAGTCTAGCTGTATGTTACCAAATGCCTCCTTGGTATCTTCAATGGATGTGCTATAGGCAGATAGAATCCAAAGAGTCCCAAACTGTCCTCATCATTTTTTACCTTAAGCCTGTCCCTTGTCCCAACTTACTTTTACTAGTGGCACCATCATGCTTCCAGTCACCTACATTCATAGCCTCAGAGTAACCCTTTCCTCTGCCCTCTCCCTCACCCTCATATATAACCAACCATGAAACTCTGTTGGTTCAATTTTCTCAGCATCTCTGGTACCTGTTCCTCTTTTCCATTCCTCACCATCACCTTAGCTGAAGCTTCCTTCACTTTCACCAAAACAATTGCAGTAGCTTCCCATGCTCTTTATTTGCTTTTATTTTCTATTTTTTCCAATCAGTCTATCACATAACTTCCAAAAGTGACCTGAAGTTTTTTTCTGAAACCAACAGCATCTCCTGCTCAAAAAACATCACTCACTTCTTCTCGCTCCTAAGACTAAAATACAAATTC